ATAGCGAAAACATGCAGCTTTTTGGTGCTTGTCAGTTGGGGATACCTTCGCTGTACTAAAATTATTTTTCAGCAGATAAATGCAAGATAAGACATAAATACATAGGATGATAGAGAATTTCAAATGCTATCAGAATATATAATTACTTTTATAAAAAGCAATTTCTATAGCGATGATAAATTTAAAAAGTCAATTGAAGAAATAGTAACAAAATTCGAAACGGTGGGAATCCAACGATGAGGGGGTCGTCATTGCACTCAATTTATTTTTTAGCAAATAAATGCAAGACAAGACATGATTATACAGGGAGATAGAGAACTCCAAGCGCTTTCAGAATATATAATTATTTATTTTAAAATGTATTTTTATAGTGATGATATATTAAAAAAATCGACTGCAACTATTTTTTTCCAGTAGGATAGAACAAAATTTGGAATAGTATACTGAAACTCATAGATGTTCAATGTGCAGACGATGAATATACTCTTTCATTCTTCTCATTGAAATTCTACCTTTCTGTTCATAGGTGATAATGTCAATGACGACGATGATGATCAAGACGCAATATTAGCACCAATGAGCAATTCGGTCTATGATTATCCTGTATTGACTGGCTCACTGTCAGATGTGCAACTTTCATCAAGTACTTCTTCAGATCCTGTCTTAGAATATTATGTGTTAGATATAGCTAATAATATTTCGTCATCTATCGCTGACAATAAATGTATGTTAGTGTCACGAATGAGTGAAGGTGAAAAACAACTACAAAAGATAACTGTTAGAAAACTAGAAATGCTTTTCTCCACACAATCTTCAAATTGTACTGAAGAAAGACATGTTTTATGTGAAACATCACCAATGGTTGAACGTGGTATTTATGACTGTTATCAAAAACCATTCGTCATGGATTTACCAGCATTAGTTACGAGTCAGATGACACATGAACGATGTCTCACAACATGCAAAGAATTACAGACAAGTTTAGCTATTATTAGTATGAATATGTGTTATTGTCAAGCAAATGATTGGGCAGAAACACAAAATATAACCAGAGATTTTCAGATATATAAGGAAAAATCATGTGGGAACCCGTGTTCAGGTAAACGGCCTTTTGTTAAAGAAGAATATTCTATATTTATATCTTTCTAGGAAATTCACATGAGAAATGTGGTAGCGATGATATTATTGTCTTGTTTCAAATTATTGGTAGTCGCACATATTCAACCTATCAAACACCAGGTAACTAATTCTTTTCTTTTTTAATGTGGCTATCATTGTTTGACTACCTTTTTAGCTGAACAATATCCTGATTTCATTTTTGATAGTTGCATATCACTCAATCAACGTTTGATATCCTCAATAACTATGCAATTTCGTCTTCAACAACGTGTCTCTCCTCGACATTGTTTATCTTTGTGTGTGGATGCAAAACAAAAATATTCTCTTATACAGAATCGAACATGTCTATGTACAGATAATAATCTAAAACAGGAATTAGAAGATGCTGAAACAGTTACAGGACAGAGTTGTTCTATACCATGTGATGGAAATTACCTTTACTCCTGTGGTGGCGAGAAAAATATTTATTCAATGTATATGATGCAACCAAACTGTAATCACGGTAAGAAAACTATGTTAATGTCATAGATTATATTGTAAGAGAAAAATTTACTTTTAAAAATAATGCAGTATCTAACTCTGCTACTATAATAGAATTCCATAACGGCTTTCCATCATTTTGTTGAACTGAAACTGGACACTAGGTTTTAATTTTTTCTAATTTAATTTTCGGAAAACTGGTGTCCAATCTTTGGGTTAGAGCTTCTTAACGATACATGTTGTAAGGCTGAGAAACGTCTAAAAATGTTAATCAAACTTTTCTCTTCAACTTAAGATGTCTCTCGACACTCTATCGCTGTCAGTTTAGGAATTGTAATCAAAACCAAATGATAGAAAGTCGTTATGAAATTCTATTACGGTAGCAGAGTTAGCTGGCTACGCCGAGTGGTCTTTTTTGAATGAAAAAAGACAGAAAGTTCACCTTTTGCAACCAAGACTATGAGACATATTAAATTGTTTTTCTCTTCTCGTTTTTAGGTTATGAAATAGCTGAGAACAATGCTGAATGTGTTTACAGTCATTTTTCAACTAAAACACCATCATTTGACGATGCACTTAATTATTGTTTAGCTAATGGTGGCAAATTAGCAGCAGTAAATGATATTATTGAAATTCAAGATATATTACCCGATAGTATGTTACATACACGTTTAATGAACTATGTTCTCCTTTTCAAGCAATTTAAACATATCAATGACACACGTTATTTCTGGTTAGATCGTACACAAAATCAGCCGAAAAATAATTCTATTTCAGATCGTATTCTCAAACGATGTAATGGAACAAATTCAACTGTGATCAATCTCGATCAACATTGTATTGTTGTTAAATTTGTGACTGACAATGATGGTGAATTAGTAAGATGTATTGCAGAGTCATCAGAATGTGAACAAATGTCAGCCATGCCTATTTGTATTCAAACAGAAGAAGAAGAAACTACGGTAATTAACAACGATGATGCAGATACTAGTAAGGATGATGCTGCTCTAGCGGGTGAGCTACGTTGTGACAATGATCAATATCATTATGTTGGTGATTATTGTTATTTAATTGACTTGCATGAAGTTTCGTGGGCAGATGCTGTCAAACATTGTGAAAACCAACAAGCACAGTTATTCGTTCCGGATAAATCAGTACAAATGCAATTGATTAAGTTTTTGTTAACAATGAAAAATACTTATTCATCAAATGGTTTTGCTCATGTAGGCGTCTTTTATGATCCACAAGAACAAACGGTTAATCAATTTTCATCCAAGTATGGAGGCCCATTTGTTATACCCGATTCGAACTCCATCTATGATATGTGTGATGAAACTTTCCGTGAAAAATATGGAAGGGTAAATCAAACGACGTCGACACCGTTATCGAATTTAGCGAATGTAGCTGGATGTGGTTATTTGGAATATGATGTATCTGGAACGTCAGTAATTAAATGTGATGATCTCAAGTGCGAGAGAGAAGCAGCCGTTATTTGTCAAAAATTACCTACAATGATTGCATTTAATATCACAAGTGAAAGGTAGGAAAAACAGTAGAGTGCATGAAAATAAGGAAGTATTATATCCCTAAGACTGTGTATCATACAAGAATAATTTAGATCTAATAAGCATCTAGCCTTTGCACTAAAGTGGCTATTTTTAACACCGAGTCTCGATAATTCTCCCTCTCCATTTTTGATCGAGAATTATTCATCCTAATTGAAGAGTTTATTCAGAATGCTTGCGATTATAAAACGGTCTTTGTTGCTCTTTCACGTTGTCGGGTTGGTTTTTAATAAAAACTTTCTGGAAAAAAAATAGTCGACCCACTTCCAAAGAAAATAGCTCATGATTCATCTCTCCACAGCACGTACTCACATTTAAGACATCGAAATGCGTTGAAACTCTTTGCTATATATCGAGTCATCCTGGTACATAGTCAAGACATCTCTAATAGAAGAAATAGAGGAAAAGCATCCTATCAGCTTTATTTCTTCTGGCGTTATACTGCCATAGTCTCGAACAGACGATAATGGCAACTTTGAGCGAGTAGAATAAACCAGATTTGTTAGTTACAAACCTATCAGGCAACGCTCGTTTGTTTGGATTGATCCCTGATTTCAGAGTACCCCATCTCTCTTCGTTGAAAATTTCGGATATTGAGTTGAGCATGGCCTTATGTAGAAGAGAGTGTCACAGTGGGCAATTTTGGCTAGGCAGGCGGACATTTGGGTTTAAATGCATCCAATCAACTTAAAACTCAGTAAAAATAGGTTTTTGAGTGTGCTCTTTCGCATGGAATACTTTTCAGAGCAATAGG